CTTAAGCAAAATAACAGTTTGGGATTAATATGGCAGGTCTGTAAGGCTCCTTTTGTCTTACTGCTCTACTGTTCTAATATTAGTCCTTCTCTCATGATCTAAAAATGTCTGCTTCAGCTCCTGGAATCACATTCACATTCCAGCCAGTCAGAAGGAGACAGGAAGAAGGGAAGAGGCGCAGTCCTCCCCTTTAAGTGCATAACTCAGTTGTTAATGCACATCACTTCTATAATACTTGCATCCTTTTGGCAAGAATTTAGTCATATGGTCAGTACTAGCTACAGAGAGTTGGGAAATATTGTGGAAATACTGTCCATATGCTCACTTAAAACTGAGAGATTCTATTTCTAAAATAAAAAAGGGAAGGATGGCTATTGGAGGGCATTAACTGTGCTATAATCACCATCTTCTGGTAACTATGAAAAGAACTGGTTGAATAGTTTTAAGCTTAGATGTGAGTTTATAATCCAGGGGTAAAATGGTGTCTGCAGAGACACAATTATATTTATGCATATTATACTCTATTTGATGCATTTTTGTATTCCTCCTGTCTAGCATAGTATAGCACGGAAAATAAGAACATAAGAAATGTGTTTGGAATGAATGAATGAACAGCCTTCTTTGCCTTTCTTGTATAATCTGTGTTATGTATGTATTCTTTATTTTTTATATGTGTCACTTACTTGTTCCTATCTGTATTTTATTAATATTTCTCCAAGAGGATTTAAGAATAGAAATGATCACAGTCCATAGTCTGATAGAGGAGTACTTTGTATCTCCATGGGTATATCTAAAATTTTATAGAAGTCTCAATTAATTTATACCATAGGACCAATTTTCCCTGCCCCTAAAGCTGACAGTTTTAACTTCTGTTATCATGTTTTAATTATTAATAGAGTAGCTGTATTTGTTTGAATGTTCAGCACTGTGTCTGAGAATTTTGAATTTTTTTTTTAAACTAATAATACCTAGAGTCACTAATTGGTTTGTGAAGATGTTTCCTCTGCACTTTGTATGTATATTTTATATATTGACCAGCTATCTCTGAAGAAGATAAGATGATCTGAGGAAAAAAAAAGTTTTTTGACATGATTTTATATATCTCAAAATAGGCATTTTATAGAGATTTTGGTCATTATATCTTGTTTTTGGCCTTCAGTTATTATGATTTACACTCATTTGTTCCTGTATTAAAATTCCTACCACACCTTTCTTTTTAATAACTCTTGAGTGCCAGGGGCTGCCCTCAGTGTGGGGAATGTGAAGGTGCGTGGGGCCCAGGCTGCACCTCCCTGAGCTTGGAGTCCGTGTCACACAGCGTGGGGATGGCTGTGCTGTGCTGGCCCCACACTGCGCAGCCATGGGGGTGAGGGTGAGTGGGAGCGAGGAGCTTGCGAGGCGCGGGGGCGGGCGGGATGCTGATGTGATTGAGGTGAGGCTGGTTAGTTGAGAAATAATATGGCAATAGTTCAATTTGGTAGGAGTCAAGGATACAAAGTGTGGATGGGGCTGGAGCGCTGGATCATGGAGAGTCCCTTAATACACTACACAGGGGATTGTGAGCTTAATGTCTTCAGGTCAGTAGCTTTCAAATGTTTTTGTTCATGACTCATAGTAAGGCGTGTGTTTTTACACAATGACTTATTATTAGGCCTGGCCCTAATGTTTGCAGGGCCTGGGGCAAGAGGACAAATGGGAGCATATATACAGTAAAGCTAAATACTTAAAAGTTATAAATCAAGGCAACAAACTGTTAGGAAAGGATACACCAACCTACCCTGACAAATATATGTTATAATGAAAAATGAAAACTGAGTGTAAAATCATTGATGCCAAATAACCGAGAATAGTGCAAATTTAAAATTAATTTTGTATTCCATCAAAAGACTATTAATTTATCCAAGGAAATGCCAGGGCAATGGCAACTGGGCCAAGTGGGAGGAGAAGAGGGGAAGGCTCACTCAGCCTTCTCTTCCAGTGGCTGTGGCATCCATAAATTAAACACCTCCTTTCTCTTTATTGGAAGAGTGGCTTTTTCATTTCTGCCAGAGACTCTGACCACCAACCCATTGCCCCTTCTCTACTCCCAATAGCCAGGCATTGAGTTCCTGGGCCATCTAGGCCATGCCAATCCAGTCCAAGGGCACCCTCCTTCCTCCAGGTACTGCCCATCCTCCACCCTTGCAGCAAGGTTTGCATTTAGAACTCTCTGAGCAGGAATCCACATGAGGACTAGTGAGAACAGCTGGTTCCTGCCCTCTTTGCTCCACCTTCCTTTCACACCTCCAGGGGATGAACGGGCCCTGCAAGCCTTAGGTCCAAGATGCTTCCTTCAATTAACAGCCTTTGACCAGCCCTTGGACTGGAGGCACATACACACACACACACACACACACACACACACACACACACACACGTAGCACTGTTGGACATGAGGAAGGGGCTCACATAGGCTGGAAAAGTGGCTTAGGGCCATTTGGCTGGAGAATAGTGGAGACCCTGGTACCCAATAATGGATCTGAAGAAAGAGAGGATACTGGTTATGAGGTAACTGAGCCAAAGATAGGCCTCAAGATGGTAATGGTGAGGACAGAGTGGAGGGGAAGTATTGATAGAATCAACAAATCTTGATGACTAATGAGATATTGGGGTGCAGAAGAAATCTAGAATAATACCAGTGATTTCTGATATGTGGCATTTGAGGTCACAGTATGACATTCAGGTCGTTTGTTAGTTGAATATATAGGGTTAGGAGGTAGTTAAAGAAATGTTTTCTAATGCATGGTTGCTGAATGATTTGATTTCTAATCATTTGGATGGTTTGTTAAAATGTAAATGTCTAGGTCTCATCTGCTGAATCAGAATCACAGGGCGGTGTCTGGAAATCTACATGTTAGTAAGCTTCTGAGGTGACTTAGAGACACATCCAGACCCCAGAGAGTAGGAGGAAGGTTTTAAGTGGAATGAGGATCGAACTCTGGGGCTTACCAACACTTAAGCACAGGAGGAGGAAGGGAAGTAGGAAGCAGACACTGGAAATAAGTGGGCAGCATGTCCAATGAAGGAGAGAGGTTTAGTAAAGTAAGGAATGTAACAGCATTTTTGCATTTAACATTAGAAAGCTTCCAATAAACGCAGCAAGGGCAGTGGCAGTGGTTTAAGTGGTGAATATGTTGGGAGATCAGGAAAGGAAGATGCATGATATAGGATGTAGTCTATCCTTTCAGTGAACTTAACTGTAAACCCAGAAGAAAGAGGGTTAACAAAGCAAGGCACAGATTTGAAGAAGGGCTTTTAAAAATTTTTTGGAGCACTTATATGCTGAAGGGAGGAGGAACCTGTAGGGAGCCAGATATTAAAGATATGGCAGAGAGAAGGAGTAATTGATACAGTCTGTTTTCAGGGGAATGAGAGATGCATTTTAGGACCCAGATGGAGGGAAGCTTAGACAGAAGGAAGAACACCTGTGGCTGGTATACAGCTAAGAAGGAAAGAGGGTGTGTACAGACAGAAACTTCCCTAAGCAGACATTTGGACACCAGCCCCAGGCACTGTTTAGGTGCTGTGGCCTCAGAGGTTAAGGAGGCATGGCAGTCATCTAATGGGGAAGATAGATGAGGAACACGTAGGATAACGTGTGGTAATTGTCATTAGAGTTGTGCTCAGAGAAGGCGGAAACAGAGGAGGATACGAGGCAAGGCTCTCCAGAATGGGAGAGAAAAACGTGCAAATGGGTTGGAACCTGAAATTGGAGGCAGGGACATGTACGAGAAGGATTGAGATGAAGACTGTGGTTGGGCCAGGGTTTGGGGAAAATGTGGGCCTGGATTACAGTGGTGCTTGTTGATAACCATGGATGCAATAATACACACACACACACACACACACACACACACACTAAGAGAGAGACGCAGTTATTGACTTTGTTAAAGCATCAGGTGAAACTTTATTTCGGAGTACTTGAGAAAATGAATTTTTATAACCAAGGAAGCTGCTACTTGTTTATCCCTCCCTCCCCCTCCCCCTTTGATGACTTTTCTTGAAGCTAATTTAGGTAAAGAAAGCCACCGCTACCAAAAGTGCTTTGGCACCCTGGCATAATTTCAAAGAAATCTTCTTTCCCACTTAGTTAACTACATTTCCCCAGGAAAAAAAAAAAATCTTTGTCAATGTAACATCCTTTAACAGGACTCCTGCTGGTCGGTTCTTGTATCTTGCTGTGGCAGCTGTGAACATATATACTATTGATTGTTAACGTGTGATATAAATCCAACTGGGGCATGCCCACTAATTGGTTTGCGAGCTAGATATAGACAATGCTGTCTTATAGTAGCTTGTGTAGATAGGCCTAGTCATAGGGTTAATTCTGCTTGACAGCACATCAGCAGCATCTTGAGAGTAATTACTCAACAGAAGTTTTCCCACAGCTGAACTGAGAGCTTCAAAGGCTTCTGAATTTATAACCAGTATTAACCTATATCTGAAACATAATGTTCCCACAAGGGCTCAGATTCTTTTTCTCCTTCTTATTAAATGTATGGAGTTACTAGGTTCATTTGCTGTGTGCTAAGAACTTAGTGGAAAAAAATTACTCAGTGTTGAATAATTTAGAATCTTTAATAATAAAGAGGACGACTATAAATTTGGTTTTGTATTGCTTTATTATATTACTGAAACAAGTTAATCTGCAAAGACCAGGTCCTTTTTGAAAACATAATTTATTCTCTTTCTCTCAAAAATAAGTTTAAATAGTTAATTTTTTTGATACTCTGTTCTATACTCTGTTATCTATACTGATATGTGCATGTTTAAGGGGCCTAGGGTACATTTAAAATATATTTAAAATGGTTAAAATAAATATTTGTTTACATTTTAGAAAGCTGTTTTACTTTTTGACCAATATACTGAAATCTGTAACTATTACAGCCCCTCCCCCCATAAAATAACTTGTTCTTTTACAAACAGTTTTTATATTGTAAAAAATTTCTTTCACTTTGCAGGTCAGAAACCAAATTTGATTCCAGTTCAGGTATGTTTACATTAATAATGCTTTTCTGAGTATATTTTATTTACGTTATTTTCTGAGGAGTAATTCGTCAGATAGAGAACCATTTTGATTTTAAACAGACTGGCTAGTCTCTTTTCAAAACATGAGTCTCACCTGAAAGCCAGTCTATTGACTGCTTCACATCATAACTTGAGATGTTCACTTTGGGATTCTGCATAGTTCTGCAATAAGCATTAAATGCCCTACATATGCAGAGTTTTATTTGAAAAGGAGAAATGGGGTTGTACATACTTATTGCTCAAAATAAAATATAATTTTCTCAGTGGATAAAGCATCTTGAGTAATTTGAAGATTCTCTGCAAGTGATTTGCCACCAAATGTGGGGGATGGATGCATTTAATCCAGCAAACTATAGAGTTCCAGCCAATAGAAATAGACATTTGTCTATGACTTGTTTTTTAAAAAAAATGTTTTATTGGGTGGGGTGACAGAAAATTGAGGTCACTTTAAGTCATTATTTTGTATCTATTAAGACCAAATTTATGTTACCACAGCAGCATATCAGCCTCAATAGGTGTTTTCTTCTCATTAAGCATGAATGTAGCCATATAATCCTCAGGTTTGACTATGTCCTTTTGTCATTTGCTGAGATTTATGCACTTCATAGTTTCTGATGGTGTTTACAATTAAAGTGCAAAAATTGCCTGATGTGTGGTGCAAAGGAATTGGGCTCTTTGGTGGACTAGTAATAGATAAATAAACATTAGTTTTTAATTCCAGGAGAAGATAATTTACAGAAAAGTATGTAACTTGAGTTTAAAAGTGACATTTTTACTCTGGTTTGAGTTTCACCGTATTTCAACTTAAAAAATGTTTATACTTGTTATGGTTACAAAGGAACAAGTGCTACATATTCTTTTTGATAGTGATGTTAAGGAGCCAACACAATTTTCCTTCTTCATAAGCTTTGTCTTTTATTGTCTAGCTTTATTAATTTAGTGAGAAGTCTAATTTATGAAGTCTGTACATTTTAGTTAACAAATTCATTTAATTTGAGAACAAAGACTCCAGTAATCTTTCTATTTTGTGTGTTCTGGGGCTTCTGAATCATTTGTGCCAGTTACAGTACAAGATAAACATTTTTGGTTAACAGTATTGACTACATGGAGACTAAAGGTGGGATGGTATTGTATCAACTATTTAATTCTTTTATTGCACTTGGTGTTAGCCAAAAGGCCGAGAAGCAGTGGACGCTTTTATTGATTCACAGGTGGCTCAAAATAAGGTGAAAAGTTTTTTTTCATATTTTAATAGTTAAAAATCTTTATGTATATTAAAAATAAATGAATAAAATTAGAGAATTAATTTTTACATAAAAATCATGTCTTTTTTACCTCTGCCAGTCACCAAATATTTGTTAAGAATTCATCTTGTTTTGATCTGATTTAATTCCTTAAACATCAAGCCAGAAACTGGTTTTAGGTATAGGATCTGGAATATAGCTTTTAAAAATGAAAAAGTCCACTAGGTTCATTTTGAAGGTAAAATCTGGAAATAGTGTACAAAACTGAAATATTAGGCAGCTATTGTCAAAGTCAGATAATTTATGTTAAATTTTCAAATCCAAATTAAAGTGTGCTGCTAAATTCCTGCACTGAAGGTTAGTATTTATCATGAAAATAGTTATAACATCTGTACAGGCACACATCTTTCACTCTTGTAACCAAAGATTTTGTCCATGACTCTTATTTTTTCAGGTCCTAAATTTTTTTTAAATGTCTATCAAGGACAACATCTGCATGTCTTTGAAAACTACAAAGTTCTCTACTATGAAAGGCTTATGGGGAATACTGATTAAAAGTTTATTTATTCTTTTAATTTTTAACTTAAATATGTTGTGGAAAGAATTCAGATGGTTTCAAATTAAGAAATAGGTAATTATTTTTTGTATAAGCTCTTTTTGCTTATTACTGAATGAAGGAATCATGACAAAGGAAGCTAGAAATTTATTCTTTGGCATTCTGTATCATGCAAATTTTGGTTAGAAATAAGGTAACATATTGGAACAATTAAATGTATGACTTTAATAGGGTCAAATTCTCTATTGTTCATCAAATACAGAAAGTAAACTAGCTCTGTTTAATGTTGTATATAGCTGTGACAAAGTAAGATTTTTAAATGAAGGAAGTTGCCAATCTTACTAAGAAAAAAAATCTTAAAAATAAATGCTATGGTCAATGACTAGCCATAAAGGAAAGGATTTCAAAGTCAAATTATATATATATATATACACACACACACACAGACACACACACACTCACCCACACATGTGTGTGTGATTTTATATATATGTGTGTGTGTATGTGTGTATATTTAAATGTATATTATGTGTATGTATAAATGTGTATGTGTGTATTTTTTTTCAAGAAAAGTACCCAACTTATTCACAGCTTACTGGACAACATTTATAGTTTGTGTAAATGAGTTTTAGGCTGTGGAGTGAGATTCAGGAGGAAGGAAGAAAAGTTTTCATTGCCAGCAGATGTTAAAATTTTCAGTTGTCGACTATTTACCAAATGATTAACCTAGAAACAGATTTGATTTTTTTCTTATCAGAATTGTATCCTTTTTTTTCTGTAAAAGCAAATTCACAGCCTACCTGTGTTTTTTTTAAAGTTAAAAAATTTTATAATGAAAAATTTCAACCATATATGAAAATAGAATACAGTATATAATGAGTACCCACCAAATCATCATTTAAATTTTATTATTGTTCATAATTTGCCATGTTTGTTTCACTTTTCTTTTTTTACTTGAACTATTTTAAAGTAAAATATATTTCATGTGATTTTTAAAATCTGAAAATTTATAGATTGTCTTGACTTATTAAAAGGGGTCAATTAATTTTTTGAGGTTTTCTTCTATCTTAGAAATTTGGGTCACAGACAAATTATTATGTAAAGGATTATGGCATTTTCATCTCCACATTCAGTTAAAGACTCTTTGAAAGTTCTGCTTATGGTGAATTGTGTGGTTAAGCAAACTTTCAACGAGTAGGCAGAGGCGCTGAATTAATTCTGATCTGAGAACCCCAGGAAAGTTCTGTCATCAAGATTAATTTGGTTAAAACTTTAGCTGCCGTTTAGCTGTGGTCTCTATGTACTGAGTTATATACTGATTAAAAAACTTTTCTGTTGATTTGTAACTCAATCACCTAAAGTTTTTGGCTTTGCCAATTGAGAACAGTCAGCCCACCTTCTTTCTAAAGGAGTTTTAAGGTTTCCATTTTAACACCTTTTCCTTGTTGATGTACTAATGTTGCCTAGAATCGTGTGGAGTTGGTGATTTTACTAATAGAGTAAAACAGACTTCCTTTTATGTCCAGAAGTAGCAAGAAGCTGTACTCTTCTCCCACCTCCCAAGAAGGGAAGTTAGTTGATGCTGGAGGAAGCAGAGCATTGAGTTTAATGTAGTGATTAAACATGAAAGCCATATATCAAATCTCAGGAGAAACATGCTTTTGAAAGAGGCAGAGAACTGTGGAGCATATTGCATGATAGGCTATATAAACAGAGCCCTGGAGGTCAGTGTGTGGATGCAGACCAATTAAATAAAGAACTTACTGGCTTTGCTTTCTGTCATCTGGATGGGGAGGATCACAAGTTAACATGCACAGGGTTGAAGTGTAAACTTTGCTTAAATAAGCTAGGCACCTTTGGAAACTTCATTAACCCTTTCAATCCACTGCTAAGATTTTTTTTTAACCAAGGTCCACAGGAAGTTGAAAAAAAAAACAAAAACCCAAAATATATGCTCTCTTGGCCCTTCTGTATACACCCATCAACAAAGAGTAATGAGCTAGTAATGAGTAAAATGGAGGAAAAAGCAAAGGATGAGCTGCTGAAAAGACCCAGAGTTGGCTCTGAAGTCAAATTTCAAGAACATGCATGTCTTTCAAAAACAACCTATTTGAAAAAGCAGATCTCTTGCGGAATAACTGAAAAAATATGTGTTTCTCTTCTCCTGAGTTCTAGGTATAAGGCAAAGATATAGTTGGAATATAGTTGATATATTAGTAAATCACTAATATAACTACAGGATACTGTTATTTCTGTTCTATTAAAATAGAATAGCTTTCTGATCAAGAAGAACCTGGTGCTTGTAAGTTAATAACTGTATGTTAAGGACTGCCTACATTCTAATTCTGTGATTCTAACCTTCTCAGGCAGTGTTTGGGTGAGAAAATGAAATACCAAGTTAAATGGTATAGTTTCATGGTCCATAAACATTCAAAACAAAGATTTTTTTCTATAGAGTCATGTTGGCTGAGAAAGTGAATAAGCTTATGTTTAGTTCTTGTTGATTCTGAGCTGCTCGGAATAGCTATACTAAGGAAATGGGCTCATAGAACACAGCAACTCAAAGGTATAGGATTTCATGAAAGCAAATTATGGAGGATTAAGAAACCTAATGAGCATGGTTTAGTGTGGAGAGTTGAGGAGGGAGCTCACTATTAAATAAAGCCCAAGAGTGTAGAAGGTTAGGAGATCCTAAAAGACACGATTATAAAAGGGTACAACAGAATATAATTATGCTGAAGGGGGGAAAAAAAACCTCCAAGGGGGGAAACCATCTAAAGAACAAAAAGCAGCTAGTGTCGCTTTGGGGATCTGTAGTTAAAAGGGAATCTACACCAGGGTAAGGAAATCAAAGAATATAATCAGTTAAAGCTTGAGGCAAAAAAATAAGGACAGTGAAAAATAGAATGGGCTGCTATGGTAGTCGCTAAGTTGAAGGGAATTTGAATGTAGTAGAACTACAGAGTTTTGAAAATTTACTAAAATTTGAGATAATTTGGCTAACACAGTAAGCCCTGCTTAAGAAATATTAATAAGGAAAGTATTTTCAGTTCTTGTAAGAGTGAGAATATGTTGATAATACTTTTTAGTTGTATAATTCATCGTTTTAAATTTCCTATTTTGAAAGGTCTCGTAGTAATGAAAAACAGGGAAATATAATTT